GACATATCAGATAGTTTCATTAACACCAGGTTTACAATTTTAAAGAAAAATTGAATTTAAATCCTTGACCATGATCTCTTATTCTTTCTCTCTCACTCTATTTCTCTCTATCTTTCTCTTTCTCTCTTTCTCTTTCTCTCTCTCTCTCTTTCTTACAATACAATTCAGAAAATGCATGATGTGCCCTTTTGACCCCCCCCCCCTCCCCTCGGAGCTCGTCACTGACTCTTATTCCGGACCTAAGTCTTACAATTTAACACGTTAAATGTACAGGTAACCTTGCACAAGTCGAAACCTCTTGGGACCACAAATATATTAGACTAATAAGAGGTAAATAAAAATGTTTTGCATTATCTGGTTGAAAAAGTTGTATCAATTTATTCAAGGTTAACTACAAAACAGATGGTAGTATAAATTAGGAATAGGTTAAAGATGACCCCCCCCCCCCCCCCTCCCCTCTAAAAATAAAAACAAGTGCCGTATGTAGACAAACCCCCAAAAATGTATAGACTCCTTATGACAAAAAAGTTAGTGTGGAGCCCCCGCACATATGCAGGTTCCCAAACTATTTTGTTCATAGGCGGTCATGAATATAATTCTTTAGGGTTTGTATATGTTGAGGCCCACGCTCAAATTTCAAAATTGTTGGGTTCAGAGCTCAATGTGGGGGCCATCTGTATGATAATCTTGTTTTTAGAAGTCCTACATATGATGACACCGGCCGCTTAAAATCTCGAGCCGCGGATTCAAAGTTAAACGTTAAGAACAGCCCCTGCGGTCATCACTCTTTAGTGAGAAATTTGAAAAAGGGCACAATATTTTGGATGTCTTACGGTAGGGCCGCTTCACAACTCTTAATTTTGCCCTTCATTCGGATTCAGCTCATACCAAATCGCTTGTGCTTGTATTGAACTCATGTTGGTAGTAATCATGGACAGGGGCGGCAATCCTTGGCCCGATAGGGGGACACGTCCCCCAGGAAATTTATAAAGATAGCTAAAAAGAAATATAAAGGAAAGAACGCACATATTGGGCTTAGGGATTTTCTAGAATGCATAATTTCAGCATTCAACATTGCAAAATCTCGCTTGGTCGCTACGCCCCGGCCCACAGTGGGCCAGGGAGGAACCAAAGTGCGCCAAAACTCATGTTTGGGGATTTGTTTTTTATGAATCCAGAGGAAATGTTTGGATTTCCAGGGATTTTCGCTTAAATTTTATTACCAACATTTTCTCTAATGTCTAAGCTTTAAGTTGATACCAGATTTGGCTGCCCGATTCTGCCCGTTATTATGTTAGAGCCGTTTTCCTTGCAACATTGCCCCGAAAATGTGTTTATTTTGGTCCGCGGTGTCAGAACAAGTGTTACGCGCCCCCTCGCGCCGTGATTTATGACCATGAATCCTTCATGATTCACCCCGCGGACCCAAAAACCCACATTTTTCGGGGCAATGTGGCAAGGAAAATCGGCTCTAACATAACAGCGGGCAAGATCGGGCAGCCAAATTTGGTATCAACTTGAAGCTTAGACATCAGATAAAATGGTGGTATTAAAATTTAAGCGGTACACCGCGGAGATCTAAACATTTCTTCTGGATTTATAAAAAAAACATGGACAATTAGTCCATTTCGGTGAATTACCTTATAATATATCATGAAAATTGGGTTTCTATTAATTTTAACCCATTCATTCAACGAAATGAACTATCAGGAATATGTGAGAGCAATTTCATATCAATAACTTAAAAACTTCATGTTGAATTGAAAGATTTTTTTAAAAAGTCACTTTTGCACTAAAACTGTGAATATGTAGGATTTTGCTGTTTGAAGTAGTAAATTTATACCCTTAATGTGCATACCGGAATTAAATATTTCACTGAGGTACTCCTCTATGTATTACCTTTCAACTGGGCAAGAAAAAAAATGAAACAATAAATCACCCAAATTTAGTTTTGGCGCACTTTGGTTCCTCCCTGGCCCACGTGCGGCCCTCGCCCGATAACACAAAACTATGACGCTCCCGGCCGTGATTTATCCATGGTTGGTGTAAAGATCTTTTTTCCCTTTCATTTCTACTTACCTAATTGTGTGCTATCACAATCATGATTGTTTCATTTTTCCTTTAAAGCAGGCGCGTAGCTAGGGGCGGTAGGGGCACTAAGAGGACATAGGACGAAAAAGGAGCAGACAAAGAAACATTTTGTGAAATTCTGACAAGTCGAGAACAGTACCACGAATCGTCTTCTTTATCTAATAATTAAATGAAATGTCAAAACTTCCGCGCATCGCTCAGGAGGGGGGCAACTGAATTCAGACAAGCATTGGGAGTCAAGAATGGTAAAACGAATCATCTTCTTTCTCTAATAATTTAATGAAACGTCAAAGCTTCCACGCTTCCACGGGGGAAACTGCATTCAAACAAGGATTAAGAGTCACGAATCGTCTTCTTTCTCTAATAATTTAATGAAACGTCAAAGCTTACGCGCTACGCGCGGGCAGGGGGAAACTGAATTCAGACAAGGATTAAGAGTCGAGAATGGTACAAAGAATCGTCTCCCTTTCTCTTATAATTTAATGAAACGTCAAAGCTTCCGCGCTTCGCGCGGGAGTAGGGGCGGGAACTCAATTCAGACAAGGATTAAGAGTCGAGAACGGAACAACGAATCATCTTCTTTTCTTATAATTAAATGAAACGTTAAGCTTACGTGCAAAGCGCAGGAGGGGGCTGAATTCAGTCAAGTAATAAGAGTCGAGAATGGTACAACAAATCTTCTTTCTTTAATAATTAATGAAAGGGCAAAGCTTCCGCGCTTCGCACGGGCGAGGGGGAAACTGAATACACCAGTTTACAGTTGTATCAGTGCGCATGAGCAGACAGTTGACCTCGGGTCATTGGCCCCGGAACAGGGCCAAATTGGCCCTGTTCCGGGGCCAATGACCTCTGACCTCTGGTATTTATGCGTAAATTAAGATTGCACCAATGCAAATGATGATATGCGCGCACAACGCAGCGCGCAGGCAGTGATCATCATAATTTGCATGGGCGCAATCTTAATTTACGCTTAAATACATGACCTCTAGGTCATTGGCCTTGTTTAAAATGGCGCACACAACTGTAAACTGGTGTATTCAGACAAGGATTAAGAGTCGAGAATGGTATACAACGAATCGTCTTCTTTCTCTGATATTAAATGAAACGTCAAAGCTTCCACGCTTCGCGCGAGAGGGGGTGGGGGAAACTGCATTCAAACATGGATTAAGAGTCACGAATCGTCTTCTTTCTCTAATAATTTAATGAAATGTCAAAGCTTCCACGCTTCGCGCGAGAGGGGGGGGGGGAACTGCCTTCAAACAAGGATTAAGAATCGAGAATGTTACAACGAATCGTCTTCTTTCTCTAATAATTTAATGAAACGTCAAAGCTTCCGCGCTTCGCGCGGGAGGGGGTAAACTGAAATCAGACGAGTCCAGAATTGTACAACAAATCGTCTATTTCTCTAATAATTAATGAAAGGTCAAAGCTTCCGCGTTTCGCGCATATTGGGGGGGGGGGGGGGGGGGGGCGGGACAGCGAGCTGCCCGAATATGAGTTTTTGATATCTTTTCTCGTTTATTTTGGTGATAAATAACACTTTCACAAATACATATTACGCTCAAATTGTTGCTCGCTCGCTTCGCTCACTAGCCGAATTGTGAAACCAGAAAATTACTTTTTTCGGGCAAGAGGCTATAACCCCCCCCCCCCCCGCCCCCAGAGATAAATGTCAAAAATTGTACCGGTATGGTGCTTCTAAAATGACCTTGAAAAAACGGTCTGCGCAATTTTCAAATTTCCGCCCCCCCCCCCCCCCCCCCCCCCCCCCCCCCCCCCCCCCCCCCCCCCCCCCCCTATTGGAAAATCCTGGATCCGCGCCTGTCTATAGGCCAAGAGCCTGTCCAGGAATGTCGCTCCATTGGGCCCATGAGATTTGACCTCTTGAAGAATTAGGCCCAAGTAAGTCATTGACAGAGCTAATTCCAAGAATTCTACCGGTCTTTTCATTTTATAGGAAAGAGGGCGAAGGGACTGAGGGCCGGTTTCCCCATTCAAAAACTTGCCTTTCATGCATCATTCTAGGGGGCCGCAGCCGTTTCAACCCCTCACCCGATCCTCCGCGGATTAACTATGTCTTCTACAGTCAAACATCAGCAATTGTATAGTTTATGATGGCCACACCTGTCAATGTTTTGATATGATTTAAATGAGTCGGAGGCACATTTTGTTCTTATAGTTTATCATTAGGGGTATATTACTATACGGTTATTTATTTTTCCCGATGTTCTCTTGCTCTTCTCCAGAGTTAGCTGTGGTGTAAAAGTGGATGAATTTGAACCCGGATCTAATCAACATGACTCAGCAAGGCCTCATTGATCCACTACAAGAACCAGAAGTGCTCCAATCGAGCAGTGGCAGTGGTATCTCGTACCAGCTGGTTGATCTAGATGTCTCCAAGAACAAGTAAAATTCTGACTTTATATTATACAGAAAATAAAATGGTACTTACAATATTCTAGCCATTCCCCCTAGCTCCTCCCGAGACAAAGTTACAGATTACTAGTACCTCCTCAACTGCTTTTACATGAAGGAAAAAAAAGAAGTCACCACGTTTTTTCCAAAACCTATCACTGGTATATTCATTCATAAAATATGCCCCACATCTTACAGCCCTACACAATCTCCTCTGTACATTTGAATAAATACATATTTGCATGCAAAGATATCTTGATAATGATTGCTGCAATGTTTACATCTTATTATGATATTAGGAAACGAGAGTTATAGGTAAAGACCTATTATGGTCATGCGATTGCATTGTGAAAGAAACGTTGTGGAATCGATCAGAAAAAGTTGATCATCTAGCATCTAGCATCTGCAAGGTTCTGGAATCATCAAAATGATAAGAAATTTGGCCCATTCTTCGTAAAGTTACAAGCACTATACACAGAAAGATGTATATGGGACTACCCTATATCTCTCACAGACCATGAGAGAAACAAATTTACCAAATATATGAATTAGTAGGCGGTTTCCCGGCAAATTTTTTATCATCATGTACTAGTCAAAACATTCTTTCACATGATTGGTAATGAGAGCTTCCATTTCATTTTTTGAAATTGGGGCGTTTCCAATACTGGTCTTTACCTTTAAATGGTAATAAAGACTGTCATGTGCAGTAATGTGCTCGATTAGGATAAATTTGCTTGGCCTACTTTGTCTTTGACATAATACATATTGAAATACTTCATATTCTGATCTTTTAAAGCCCCACTACACTACTTATATAGCTACTTGCGCCCTCTATATAGCAAACGATGCCTAATCGGTGACCGCTGGTCCCCCATGATCCCCTTTTTCTTATGTTAATTGAGAGCTGATTTGATGAGATAACCACCTGTCAGTGACCACGCTGGGTGGTCTAATCCCTCCTGGCCAAACTAGTGCAGACAGGCTTTAAAGCATACTATTAACTGAGTGCTGCAAAAAGTTAAATACACTGATTGACTCGTATATCTATCAGAAGAACCGTTAGTTAATCTCAACCTCGCTTGGTTTGTCATGATAAGTTCCAAAGTGGTGATAACTGTTATTTTCTTTACTACTTTCAGATCAAACATTCTAAAAAGGACGAATTTTCGCCAGGAGGAGCGCGATGTCCTGGTGTCTCTCATCACTGAGTACAGGGGTGTCTTGGATCGCAGGAATTCGAAGGACACTAGGTGGCGCTACTCGAACCTGACTCCAACAGAAGCATGGCAGTTGATTACTGACAAGTACAACAGTCATCCTGGGTTCCGTCATAGGTAGGTGGCGAAGTTAAATTTTAATGATGTTAAGACTAGATAAAGGCAGGTGTTGTGCACTTTCCTGAAGTTTCAGTGTGGGTGTGTGGGTGTGTGTGTGCTGACAAGTATAACAGTCATCCCAAGTTCCGTTAAAGGTAGGTGGCAAAGTTAAAATTGATGATGGTAAAACTAGATAAAGGCAGGTGTTGGGCACTTTCCTAAAGTTTCAGTGTAGGTGTGTGTGTGTGTGTGTGTGCTTGCACGCAGGTGTGGATAAAAGCGTTTCTATAATAGAGTTTTGATCAGCAAGATTTGTTTGGAACTGCATTTTCCCCGATTGTTTTTCCTGATCGTTTTCCTTGATTATTTTTCCATTGCTATAGAGACCCCGCGCAACTCCGTAAATGTTGGATGAACATGAAGGCACGTTCGCAATTCTCCATGGCACAGAGACGGCAACTGGGACTAGAATGCTCTTCTGTTAGGCCACCCTCTCGGAGCTTTTCCAAGGCGAGACAGACTGTGGCAATCAGACTCAGAAACACAGGCACTCCAAACACCCTCAACAGTCGGTCTTTTGCCAGCCGAAAATCCAATTTGAGCCGGGTGAACACGTCTAGTACGTATATTTCTGTTTAAATATTCAGGGCAGATATGTTGGAAATGGCTTCTATGAATTATCTATCGGTACCGATCAAGATTTTTTTCAAATTCAAACATTTATTTATTCTTGCTCTATTTGATCCGCTTAGAATAGATACTGCTTGGAACAACATCCCTTAAATATGGGTGGGGCAGAAACCTACAAGTTCTATACCAGGCCTTCTCAACTGGCAGCGCGCGCGCCACTGGTGGCGCTTGCGGTCAGTCAGAGTGGCGCGCGGCTGTTCCAAAAAAATAATACAAATTAAAAATTAAAAATTAAAGAAAGAACAACATTAAAACAATTTATTTTAAAATAAAAAAACTCCGAAAAATCAATAAGTCGAAGTCGAAGTTGAGCCCAAAATGTAAGCAAGCCATTTTGTTTGCTTGATTTGCACTTCATTTTGACATTTTCCGTGTTTATTGCACCAAAATAACTACATATAAATTAACTTCCAGTGTAGATTTTAGCCAGGAATTGTACTAATTAATTCACATCAATATGAAATTATGATTGATGTTTTATGGAACAAAAAGGTGTTAAAAATGCCACATCTGGGCCTCAAAAAAGCCCTAAAATCCACTAGCTTCCGGGGGATTCGCCCCCTGGACCCCACCCGGTATCGGCTCGGTCGCTACGCTCCCTCATAACACAGTCACCAAACATACAGGTTGGCACTTCAACCTCAATTCATTTTTGCTTTGGCGCTTCTAATAAACTAGTTGAGAAGGCCTGTTCTATACATTGTTATCATACTTAGTAATTAATGACATGTGAATCTTTAACTTTTGAATAATGTTGATGCAATAGTAACTTTTTAGTTATCAATTAAGTTGTAAGTGTTTTTGTGTTGTTGGTTTTTTTTTTGGGGGGGGGGGGGGTGGGGGTGGTAGAGGGTGAATAAGTTTACATTTGAAATGGGCACCACTTTTCTAAACCTCAAGTTAACAATCAATGTCTTTATTGTCTCGCCCGTTTTATTTTCTCAGCTCAACTGAAGATCAAAAAGTCAAGGCAGCGCATGCAACAGCATGAAGGATACAATCGAGACGTAGTACAACAAAGGGAATATGGAGTTGCAAAGTCGGCTCAGGATTTCTCCAACTACCATTTACAGTCTGGAGTAGGTAACACTGAACATCAGTACCTTAGAGTACAGGGCAGAAGAGATCCGCCAATCAACCGACAAACACAGCCGCGGCCTGTACAACTACACCGATCTGCAGACGTGGTACCACAATCCAGTGAGGTCCAGAGATTGCCTGAGTTGAGGACGAGTCAGGGATATCTGATGCACGATGCAAGATCGGCAGATCAACATAGTGGTAACATTCAGCGTGACATCTCTCCATCACACATTCAGGGTCAACAACAGATGCTAACAGTGGTGCAGAACCTTGCACAGAGCTCCAATAGATCGCAGCCGATGGCCATGCAGCCAGGCACCATCCTGTCACAGATGGAACAGTTCTCACCTCCCATGCCGCAGCGATTGACCGTCGGGGAGTTCTTGGGGAAGACCGTCGAAATGAGGTCGGATGCCACTCGAACCCAGTACAACACTCATGACGACGCACCTGGTTTAGGTGTATCATTGCAACATCTGCACGCAGAGGACAATCCCGGGATTGCATCGGTTACTGTTGCAGAACGGTTGCTACCTCAGGAATCAACAGCCAATGCATCACCTATTACTTACCAGACGGTTACCCAAGTGAGGTCCATTGAGAGTCTGGATGACCTTGAGAATGTTCTTGAATCAGTAGGACCGGTCATATCAAACGTCAAAAGTATTAGTGATGAATCAAGACCCAAGGAAAGTGAAGCAACAAACGACAGTGACATCGAAGAAATTCAGCTAATTATCAAAACAGAAGGTATGTGTGATTAGTGATTCTCCCTTCTTTTAACAGATCATTACCAATGTAACATGTGTATTTGGAATGAAAATGTAGCTTGCTGTTCGGTCTAAAAACTTATTACACATCTGTATTCTAGCATAATTTAGATTATTGTGTTTTGGTTTTTGTGATATTACGTGTACTTATGCCGCTGTATTTTACTGTTTTTGCATATAAACCAATACTTCTTACTAATTTTACATTCATTGGAACCTAATGTTTGGCTTAATGTAAAATGCTTCTACATTTTTAATCCTACAGATGAGGTTCATGAAATAAATTCCTCTGTGGAAACAGTAACTAGAACTGAAAGAACCAAACCCCAAAATAAGACAAGAAACATCACCAAAGAGGCTACCAAAGTCATCATCAACGTAGCTACACAAACAGAAACAGTTGCTGAAAGCAATGGTGATGTCTCCCTACAGTCTAGTACAAAGAAGCAAGGGGAATCTTTGGAAACAGATGAGAATCGGTCCAAAAAACAAAACAGAGATAAGGTTGTCCTTGCCAACCCCAGATCAACGTTATGTGACCAAAATGAGGATAAAAAGCTGGAGAAAGATCTGCATTACGTCGACGATGATGAGGTTATGGAGGAAGACAATGATGTCAGTTTCATCCCAGTGGAAACTGAAAAAAATGATGCCAAGGAGCTGAATGATGACGTCGATGACCAGCATGACGAAACCGGAGATCCTTCTCATTCCTTTGAACTTGGTGAACATCCGAACGAAGATGGAGATTGGTACGATTTGGCCGATGAGGAGAGGAAGGCAGGAATGGATCTGCTCTTCTACGAGGTGGAGAAAGTCAAAGAGGAGGCAGGAGCGGCTAAGTGTCGGCGAGAGCTCCTGGAGGTGGAGCTGCAAACAGCAAGGCAGCAGATGGAGTTGACGAGAATTAAACAAGAGGTAGAAATAGAGCTCATGCGAGAGAAGGTCCGTCAAGAAAGAGCCAAGGCTGATAGCATGATGGTACAGAAAAAAGAGACAGAGCTCCAGGATGAAAAGTAATATTTTCTGGAGATCACCAGCGCACCACTTGCAGTGCGCCTGCACCTTGATCCGTTCGAAATTCAGAATCTTACGTGCAACTTGGACACGTATGACACCTTTGCTGTTTGCGCTTCCTCAGGAATCGAAAGAGCTCAACATTAAAAGAAAGCTTGGCATTGTAAGGGGACAATTCACTATTCTAACAATAACAAATTAAACTACTGTCTCACATTCAGGGCGTAAAGTTTTTGCCATAAGGTCTAATTGTCCGGGAGGTAGTTTTTGAGCGGGAGCTGAAAGTTTAAAACGCGGCATATTAGTTGTCATATACCCTAGCTAGGAAGCATCACTTAGATTGTATTAGATTGAGATATCGAGTCAAGCAAAAGACGTCTTGTGTGCAACGAGCATCAAGTATGGTAAGCTTTAAGTTTACGAGACGTTATTGGTGCAGTTAATGTGTGTCGAGAACGAGAGCAAACATAAATGTATTATTGAGAGAGCACTCTAGTCATTTTTTTAAATAAAGACTTAAAATTTATATTTTATGTTTATTGTTGATCTTTGATTTTCACGAAACAGTGAAAGAAAAATACCTTGATCTTTTGCAGCAAAATTTAAAGCGGGAGATAGAGATAGAGAGACAGAGAGAAAGAGACAGAGCTAGGGATGCGAAAATCTTGGGGGGGGGGGATGGTTGTGATTGTTTTTTTGACATAAATATATTGAAAAAATTATCAAAAATCTGAATGCGTTCTTGATTTGGATGGACTACTTGTACTCACTCTTACGGCATATGTTTGACCTGGGATGTAACGTATGCAAAATGAATTTCTCAGTGTAAACTAATTGCCAGCTTTCATTACTCCATTCAAGGATAGGCCTACACACAGTGGATGTCATTTTTATATATCGTCCATGTTTTTGCTTACTTGCTTCGCTCGCTCACTCACAAGATTAAGATTTAGATCAATCATAATTCTTTATAAATAGACAGGATTCAGGTTACCTAGCAAATATATGAAACTACACAGTCAAGATATGCATTCCACAGAGACTTTTATTCATCATGACAATACAAACAAGACAACAAAAAAAGCTGTATATCTAGCATAATGTACAACATGAGTAATTAAATTCACAAAAAGCATACACAGCCCATGTGTGCTGGTAGATCTTGGAACACGATTGAGTCTTTGGGTTTTCTTGCTATGGCTCCATAAGGAATAACATAACATAAAGTGTTAAGCAAGAGAACCAAAGAGGTTGGTGTTTAATTAAGGCACAAATTTACATGTGGGAAACAACGAGCTGTTTTGTGCTTGGGACTGGGTGAAAAGAAAAATCAAGTTTGGTGGTGGTGATGATGATAACATTTGGTGTCTTCTGCAAGCTATGAATGATGACTACACTCATGAACATCACCCTCTCCATACCACAGTGAAACCTTTTATCTTAATTTTTTTTTTTTTACATACAGAAAATTTTCTGAACATAAAACCTAAAACTTTCTAGTGTTTGGAAGATTCTAGGCATTGACACCTACAACCTGAAAGAATGTTGTATTACAATTTCCTTCATATTTACCATTACATTGGTGACTAACAAAGATTTTAAACCAATAATAAAATGGGGAGACAAATTAAAGGAGAAATTCACCTAGATATTACCGTAAGTCTGTTTTAATAGAAGCATAAAACTTCAGAAATTTCTATTTTTGCCCTAAAGAAAATTTCCAGTCATGCATGCACCCTAAATATAATTTCACTGACCTGATCCTTTCATTTTCAGCTTCTATTAAAACAAACTTAATATCCAGGTGGACTTTCCCTTTAATGAGCTTCCCGGAGAGATCAACCTCTGTGGAAAGTGTGAATTAGAGGATTAGTCAACCAGAGAATACGCTATGAATCTGGGAATTTAATCACCACTGGATACCGGTTTTATGCAATAAATAACTAATACACGAAGAACTCCGGATCCCAAAGGAAAAAAAAAAGAGTTTCTGTAATGGTAACTCATACAATACACACATCAAAAGAACAAAAATCCATCAAAAAAAGGACCTTAAATACATTATTACTTTACTCCATAACTGATTACATCAGGATAGCTTATATTATATAGCAAATTTTCTTTATGTTTTTCAAAAAACATGAAGTTTAGACAGATGACATATTCATAATATTGAGTCTGTTTGGATAGGTATTTTCAATATGTGATATTTGATTGATTGTATCTATCGGCATGACGACAATTACCTTTGCAACTTGTTTATTACATGAATATTGATACTGGTATTCATTAAGATGATATCCAACTTGTGGCATCATCTAAAAAAGCGGTCGTTTGATATGCGCACACCTACGCTGCATAAATAATCATTTGCATAATCAACTTGTAAATTTTTGATATATTCCATCAATAATCAAATTACATTTCTTGTGGTATCTTGTGCACATTCTAATATGATATAAAACATTAGTCCTGGATTTTGTTTAACTTTCTAGATTTAAAGTGGAAATTATTCACAAATTTAAACAAAACAAATACAATTGGAGCAGCTCATTCAAAAAGATAATGTTTCACACCATCATAATTTGTAAATTGCTTACTAATGATGGGCATTCAGAATACTCCATCCACCTATCCCGTTTAAGTTGTTAGTAGGCTTTCAGTCATTACCCAAACTTCGAGTTACATTGAAACACTAGAATTTATAGAATGGCATTGTGGGAACTTGCATGTTACTCACATGACTCAATTGATACATCGATCGCTTGATGTTATCAGGCAACGAATGTGACACATACAAACAAAACTTCCATTTCTTCTACTCCAGCTCCACAGCGAGCAAATTACATCTAACATTGATAACAAAAACCATTATCTGAGGAACTAAAAAAAAAAAACTGTTCATGCCATCTCTAAATATACAGCTTATTATTTATGATTACTGGTAGAATGTTTATCTATCTACATGTTGGCTCTCTCAGAACATGTTATATCTTTAATGTCTACTCCAGGTATGAATTAATTCATTTCTTCTTCACCATGTCATACATGTATTTAAAATAAAATAATTTCAGGCTTAATCGGAATTCAGATATGAAAGCTATCTACTAACAACCATCTTTATATGTTGTAAAGCTCTGGATAGCAATATACCTGTTTTCAACTAAAACAAAACGGGATATATCTAGCATAACAAATAATCAAAACTGTCAAATTTCAATGTTATCACTTTGAACAAGTGTTCTCCAAGAGCAGAGCCAAATTTTTACATCATTTTGATCCCTGGTTACACGAAAGAAAATGACTGCTCACAAACACCATTCAATATTTCTGCAAACAGCCATTTTCATTGTTTCTAATATCACAAAATGATCTACTGAATTCCAGGACTGATAAACGATATCGTTAGGGCATAAACCCGTAAGTGAAAGTATAAGAGTAAACATCCTCCTGGCACGTAGCAGAATATACAAGATATCTAAACAAGTACAAGGATTGAGCACTGCTTTGAATACCTAAACAAACAGGAGTCTTTACAAGAGGGATCTCGATAGATGAAAGTTCCTTTTTTACGGATGTCTCTTTTCCAAATCAAATTCTGGTGTTGGACGTAGCGTTGAGTCCATGAGTTCCTACCTGGAGTAGACATTGAGGACAGCTGGGGATGGACAGTGGGTGGATTGATTCAGCGGAAGGTGTATCTGACGTAGGGCACCTCTACATCTTCTCCTTCAGTGTCATTGCAGCATAGCTCAAAGACCAGGCTCTTGACGTGCTTAGGGATCTTCTTCTTGGAGACCTTGGTCACCACCTCGGACATCCTAGATGGGGGTGATGATGAAAGCAGATTGAAGCACATGGGGATTATAATTGATACATGATCACTCTTAAAGAGAAGGTTGAGTTCCGGAAAGAGGTGAAAAATAATTTGTGAGCGTTGTCATTGTTTTATGCAAGTGTGGAAGAACATTAGATAAAAAATGTTCCCTGAAAAGCATGGCACTTCAAATGCCTTAATATTCTAAAAATGGCATTAACATCATAAAAATTGGGACAGATTTTTATGCCACATGTTCGTGTAGTCCCATATACATCTTTCTGTGTACATTGCTTGTTACTTGACCAATACTGGGCCAAATTTGCTATCATTTTGATGATTCCAGAACCTTGCAGTACACACCAATACTTAAATGGTAGAAGATCAAACTTTTCCGATCGATTCCACAACGTTTCTTTCAGGATGCAATTGCATGACCAGAACTCAACTTCATCTTTAAGGTCCAGGTGACAACGGCATAAATATTTCCACTCATTAACGATAGCGATATTACAAGGATGAAATGAAATATATTTAATAATAAGAATTTTGTTTGACGCAGCCTTGCTGATTTATCATAGGCATTAAAAGTTTCTTTTTAATGCAAATTACCAAATTTCACTAATGCATTAATTTATACCAACCACATAAATGTATTGATGATTCTGATAAATTTCTACAAGTCATACAAATCAATAATCATTTCTGAGAAATACATTTCAAATTACCAAAAATGTGGTTCTTCAACTTTCCTAGACACTGTACAGACTTAAGTATGCCCTATAGAATAAAAGATGCATTCATTCCAAGATCTTCTCTTCACAAGCTTTTGACTTACTTGATGGGCAGCCTTTCTTTGAGTTTAGCAGCCGGCATGAAGAACGAGTAGAGCATGCATACTCCTTGTGATAACATGGTGATCTCTAGCTTATGATCATTCTGGAAGTGATCAAGGAATCCCTTCAGGGTCATCTCTTTGTCTGACACGTTCACTTCAAAGCGATCCCACAGCGAGAACTCAGTGTCGTAATACTGGAGATCAAAAAAAGTTTTGTGATGAGAACAAAGCTAATTAGACACTCATGAAACACACAAAGTAAGATGTCTAAGGATGCAATATTTGATACGGTAATGATTATGAATTGGATGTATACGATACCATCATATATACAGAATAAAAATCAGCCAAAAATCTTTTATCAAATGCGACAAACAAAAGTAGGATATTCAGTTCTGACGAGAAGTGAACATATTGGCAATTTCCAAGTCTGAAGATTCAAATAAGCATAACACTGTTCTGCTTGTGTTTCCAAACATCTTTTAACAATTATTATTAATTGAAATGCAGCATTTGATACTATACAGTATTCACAAACATTACTATGATTTGAGCAAAACTATGTCATTATTAATGTGCATTGCAATATGCAAATACATGCCTAAGAAAATCCCACAATGTTCAAGAGAAATAATTTCTGCACATTTTGAGTGGTTAATTTTTACTACAGAGTAATTAAATTGCAGTCATTGGGCAATTACTCTTCTTCACAAGAGGCCTCCATTTAACATCCTATCCCAGGGACGTAAGATATGCTCTCATCACACTGACTCACCTTCATCTTGCTTGGTGCAATGGGCTCTGAGAAACCAAAGAAGGGCAAAGCAAGGTTAATGAAACCATTCTTGTAGGACTCCATCTTCTTGTTCTGGTTGACGAGCTTGATGAGTTCCAGGCAGACGAGGCCGGCAACCACAGAGGTGGTGGTGGCGATGGCTGGGATGATCTTACCGGCTATCTTCTTGGTCTAGGGGTGTTGACAAAAGTTACAGTTTATATCACAGAGCAATTTAACATCCAGCAAACAGTGATTTAAAGCATTGATGAGGATATAAAGACAGATCATGTTCCTCTTTTGAATACTCATACAATCAAACCTGCCTGCCCTGTACACAGAGGTCATTTACCGTCTAGATAAGTCACCTGTCTGCAATCGCCATGTTATTTGCTTCCACTAAGTAGCCATTATAGACAGGTTTTAATGTATTTCATTAGAAAATGTTTAATAGCTTTGACAGTGATAAAAGAGAAAAATAAACCAGGAAGGGATAGTTCTTAAAGATGAGTTCTGGTAATGCAATTGCATTGTGAAAGAAAAGGTGTGGAATGGATCAGAAAAGTTGATCATATAGCATGTAAGTAATGGTGTGTAATGCAAGGTTCTGGGGTCATCAAAATCATCATAAATTTGGCAGAGTCTTGGTAAAGTAACAAGCACTTACACAGAAAGATGTATATGGGACAACACACATGGTGTCGGGCTGGTACTACCCTGATTTCCTTATCTTTCTATGCTCATTACTCAGCCAGTATACATTTTCTTCCAAAATTGTTTGGCACATGACATTTATTTGTAATCTTGAACATTCAGTGTAAGTTTCGTTAGATTCTGTGAGAATTCATTTTCTTTTTTTTTACCAGAACTCAAGTTTATCATTAACAAGTAACAAAGTACAGTCAAAGTCTGTCTTCGAGACCACCTGTCTATAGTGGCCACTTTTTTCTGTATCCCCTTGAGAGGCCTCTATAGACAGGTCTGACTGTATGTGAATGTCCTGGAGTGTATGAAGAGAAAGCTACAGAGAGAGATGCAGTCTCAGCAAAGTCTCCAGGATTAATCTTGCACATCTTTCAACCATGGCTACATTCATTGAACAATGCAGTCAAACGATAAGGTGCTCAATACAACTAGGGCTCATGCGAGTGAAAAGGGGAGAGCAAGCATTAAGAAATAGGAAAGATAGTAGTTGTTCATTTCCTATTCTATATGGATGATGAACATCAATTTCCATAATTAACATAATTTTGCGTGATGTTTTGTCTTATCAACTCTTGTATGAATACCCCCATGATGCTATCTTCAGGTATACTTAGTATTTTAATAGATAACAATTTAATCTTGTCATCTCCAGTACTGCAGTGATTTTACTTATTTGAAGAAGAAACAAAATTTGTGAAAACAAACAACAACAAAATATATCATACATGGAACCTACCACTTAATACCAATGGTACTGGATGTATGTGCTCTTGCCCATGTGCCTATAACATGCTGGCATGCTTACCTTATGTTTATCAGAAGGCGAGATTCCATAGTTCTCAGCTCTCAGATTTGATGTTGCCACGATGAAGTCCATGTGAAAGTTGGTGTCATCATCCTGTTTACGAAGAGTAAATGCATCAATTTGAATCGATATATACTTCTCAAGCAAACCTTTACAGATGTTGTTACGAGCCACAGGTTAAAAAGGACATTTCTGTAACTATGTACATACATAAAACCATATCAATTTAGTTTTCTAATAGCTGCACTGTGTATCTCCATGACACAAAAATGTCACCATCTGCAAGGCACGACTTGGATTCAAACACGGGGGATTGTATGGAAAAATCAAAGAGCCAACAAACAGATCGGGCCCCAATTCATTAAACTTGTTATCAATTACAAGTCACTATAACAGTTTTAAGCTACTGAAATCCTTGCATTTGATTGGCTGAGAGAAAAGTTGTTATAGAAATTTGATGAAACGGGGCACCAGTCGATGTGTACCATTACTCCTTCAAATCTACAGTGTTACTTTACAACATTACATCATGAAAAGCATGCAGAGATGCATCCTATTGTAAAAATGATACAAAGATGGCAGTCCCCCTCGGAATGGGGGACCTTCATGGTTTCTGTGATTTATTTTGCCTGCACCATTCTTGGCAACTTGTAAATGCTCATGGGAATCACGATAATGTTTTTTAAATGATTTTCATCCTTTATTTTGTAAGATTTGTTCTTCTATGTAATTCTTTTGTATACACTTTGTTTTGCTGATAAATAATAATAATAATAATAATAATAATAAAAGTCCTCCATACCTTTTCAAAGTCTAGTGGTTTAATGGTGATCTGCTTGAGCTGCTCGGGGGTTGGCAGAGAGTCTACAATCTCTCTGAGACGAGCATCATCGGCATTGGCTTCAGCAGCCGCTTGAGCTTCTGCATCATTCACTGCAATCTTCACACCTATATATAACATAAAAGAACATAAGTGGGACTGCATAAAAGAATATAAGTGGGACTGTGTAAAAGAATATAAGTGGGACTGCATAAAAGAATATAAGTAGGACTGCGTAAAAGAATATAAGTGGGACTGCGTAAAACCAATGCTGCAATCATTACACCACCATACCACAAAAGAATATCATATACTACATAAAACAATGCTGTCATCTGCATATCTACAAACTACAGATGATGAGTGGGACTATGTAAAACCAATGCTGCAATATGAACATCTACATACCCCACAAGAGGGTATGAATGGGGCTATGTAAAAATAATGCTGTCACTCTTTTCTCTTGAACATATGTCTAACCTTTAATGACATTTCAATTCATATTTATTATCTTACTGGCAACAAATATATTTGCAGGTGTGCTCATACCAGGATCTTTAGAAAAAACATGACTTTAAGATCCTTGTCTGAGGAACTCTAATACAGCAGTAACTAACAATGGGATATTTATTTCCAATCAGGATGGTACAAACGTGATATACTACTGCATTGGCAGACAGATATTAAAATTAAAGTACCCGGGTGGGGTGGAAGAGCATAATTAGAGCCCTTCTCAACCCTTCCAAGTAGGCAAACTGACCTGCTTTAGGAGTGAAGACCGGTACATCTATGGATTGCAAGACCTTCCTGAAGTAGCTGTCATCTCGGTTACCCTCCAGACCATAGACGGCTGCTAGTAGGTTACTGGTAGATACTATATAGCTCAGATGCATATCCTGATTACAAAATAATAAACAATTTACAAAACAGGTTAATTAATATTCATTAGAGCAATTTTCAAATGTATTCATGATAAATATGATCCAAGCTTGTTCGAGAAAACTGACCACAATTTCTAATGTATTTTTTAATTTCTCATCTTTGTCTCTAACATAATTTTTTTTCCAGGCTAACACGAGGTTAAAGAAAAGAAAGCACGGTAGTTTGAAATGAGCAGCAAAGTTTGCAGGAGGAGGGGTCCTCCTTGGTATCCTCCTAAAACTACCTTCATAATAGAAGTTACTCTCAAAAAACAGTTTTTCTAGTTTTGGAGTATTGTCCTAGAATCAATAAAATGGCATGACAACACCAAAATAATCCCACTATTCTACGTGCAAAACCTCTTCCAGGGTTACCTGTTTCAGAGTTTCCTGATTGTAATCCTTATGAATAAAAGTTTATCCTTTCAATCACTTACACTTCCTCATCAAACAAGACCAGGGCCCCGTTGCATAAAACTTACCATTGATGGTAACTTTGCTATCAATGGCAACTACCATGGTAACAAGGCTCAACAGCCAATTAAAATCCAAGGTTTTTATGATAGTTACCATCAATGGTAAGTTTTGTGCAACGGGGCCCTGGGCCGGTATTCAATTCAATACTTAGAATAAGTAAAAAAAAAAATTACTGAGTAAATGGCTAGCTAAGATGTTTACTTATCTCTTATTCAAATCGCATTTTAGACTTTTTTTTTTTTTTACTAATGTTTCTCCAGCCATGTGTACCAACACACAAGAGTAGTGTTGCATTGGTAATTGAACATGGCCATGAGAGTTTAATATCCCAAAGATCAATTTTCAAGACAAGGTTAGAATGCCATGTCAAGATACTCAACACTTTGCATTGCATTTTATACTTTTATTTACTGGAGACAATATCTAAGTAAAATACCACCTGTCAATGACCATGCAGGGAGGTCTAATCCCTCATGGCCAAACTAGTGCAGATAGGCTTTAATATTTCATGATTATGTGAATGCCTGAGCAGCCCCTCAAAAGAATAGATGCTATTTGTGTTAGCATTTATAATTAGATGAAATAAGAATGAGATGGTAAAGAGCTTACATTATCGGGATTAAACAAGAGTGGATGTGGACACCTCTTAGGACCTGACCAAAATGGTGCTCCTGAACTGGTTGTCTGCAAGAGAGAAAAAAAATCAAAGTCAGATGGAATATCATACATGGGTAATAAGAAAGTACACATATTAAACTTAGGCTAAAACGTGCAATAGATGATATGTTCTTCTTTACTGATATATACATTAAGTCATGGACTTTCTGTCTTATAAATATAATTTATATTTTTGCATTTTTTTTAATGAAAAGAAACAAATTATAATTTCTGCAAAAGACAGGCTTCAATGGCAAAAGGATTGTCTGTAGACTAAGACTTCAGAATTTGCTATCTTTTGTCCTCTAAACTCAAAAATATAATATGTCTATTTGCAGAAGCCATGAAACCAGGGACAATTACTGGAAGAAATGTGTTTCTCACCTGATCTGCAGGAAAGTTGAAGAGAAGTTGTTTGATCTGGTTGACGAACTGACTCTCAAAATGATGCCTGGTCCATGATATACAATCCTCTAGGCTCTTGGGTCTATCGTCTATCAAGGCTCTCTTTAACAGTTCTAGAACTTCAATCTAGATGGATGAGAGAGATACAGGTGGATATGTGTTCAGACACACTTTCATGAAATAACACAGCTCATTAAATGTAATATAGAAGCACTTACCTTGTGGCCAATGGCAAGTAAAAGTCAAGACAGTTGTAGTGGCTAGCTATATCATGACTCGTCAGAAATGGCAGTAGTAATCTTTTCAAATACTAAATACAATTTTTAAGCTTTAACAAGACTAAATATAACAGCATTCGTTTAAAAAACAATGTTACAATACAACTTCTACTTCCTCTCATCACAATGTACTTAACTAGAAGTAGTAACTTTGTGAATGGAAGATATGTGAACAAATCCTAATTTAAACCAAGAAAACAAGAAACAAAATTAATAACACTTACTGGTTGACAGCCAGGCATCTTAAGAGTCCTTTCCATAAATTTGGGATCACTGGAAAGAAAATACATTCATTTCATAAGATACAAGGCCAATCCTTCTCCTGTCACATTGAATGAAACATTATAGTCACAAAACAAATGTGGATGCCATGTGTGCAAACATTCCTGCCCTTTCTTCTCATGTGGCATATTATGTAAGGCTCTGAATCAAAATTTATTGAGCCAAACCACAAAATGTGGAATGATTTATATCACAGAGCAATTGAACATGAAGCAAACAGTGATTGAAAGCATGTACAATCAAACCTGCCTGTCATGTAGATAGTGGTCATTTACATCTCCTGAGAGGAAGATGTGTGTGTTGTAGAATCCGTCGAGAAAATTTACCTTCCTATAATCACCATTTTATTTGCTTCTACTGAGAAGCCATTATAGACAGATTAGACTGTATTTCATACAAAAATGTATGTATACAGCTTTGAGAGGGATAAATGACACAAAGGAAGCCAAATAAATAGGTCTGACTGTATGTGAATGTCCTGGAGTGTATGAAGAGAAAGCTACAGAGAGAGATGCAGTCTCAGCAAAGTCTCCAGGATTAATCTTGCACATCTTTCAACCATGGCTACATTCATTGAACAATGCAGTCAAACGATAAAGGTGCTCAATACAACTAGGGATCAAACGTGGAATGATTGTAGCGGCAGGGTTAACCCTATTTTAACTGGGCTATTTCAGACCAGGTTTTTACTGAGGGGGGGTCAATTTGACCCCCCCCCCCCCTAAGATCTCGGCCGTTTCACCGCCGATCGCCGCGAATATTTGCATGCATGTTAAGTGAAGTGTATAGAATACTATGGTAATTTCAAATTTTTGAAAAATTCACTCATTTGCATATTTATGGTAATTTATGCAAATAAGGTCATAAAATTCACATTTCGGCCCATAAATCATAGATTATTCATATTTAAGTATTCTTTTTCACTACATATATTTATTAGACCATTTGGAATAATAATACAACACAAAAAATTGGAAGAGCCAGGTTATTCCTTATGTTATCTCTTGTGTTTTTATAATTTCTTATGTATTTCATTGTTTTTTTAACTTATGTATTTTATTGTTTTTGTTGTTTTATTTCATTTATAACTACAATTCAACTATTTTGACCCCAAAACAAACATCTAAACTTTAAACAAGACTGAATAACCAATGTTTTATCTATTTTAGGAAAAATGACTTTTACATGTTTTGTACACAAATCACGAAAATGAGCGATTTTCGGGCTGACATGCAAAGATAAAAGGTCACGCGACCTTGTAACCGTAGGTCCGATTTTCAAAAAAATCGTTTTAAAAGATGCGTAACACTCAAAAGTAAAAAGTCATGAGAGGAAAATTTTATATCTGCCGCGGTTTCGGAGTAGTCGCGAAATTTCTACAGGGGGGGGGTCAAATTGACCCCCCCCCCCCAGTTAACGTAGGGTTAACAAAGATGCAATGTTCAATGGTACAGTCAAACCTGTCTATACCGACCACCCAAGAGAAACACAAAAAGTGGTCTTTGTAGACAGGTTCCTTTAGTACATGTTTCAATGAGAATCCATTTACAAGGAAAACAAAAAATGTGGTCTTTGTGAACAGGTGGTCACTTAAGCAGGTTTGACTGTATAATAAAGCATTGTTATATTATGCATACTTGTAAGCTCATTTCACACTGCTCTTCTTGTGTGATTATTCTGAGAGAACACAAGATCCAAGCTGGAAGAGTAGAACAACTTACGTTCCATACTGAGCTGCATTCTCGGCAGGGTTCCTGAACAGTCCCTCAAACATATCCCTGGCCCACTGGATGGTGTGCTCGATGGCATTGGGGAAGTTCTTCAGGGTACAGATCGGGATGGACTTCTCAGGGGGGTCCTGGGAGGAGGAGTAGGATTCTGTCAGGAACGGTAAGACCACCTGGACGTTGCCTTTGGTGCCCAGGGTACCCGACTCCAGCAGGGACTTGCGGTAGTAGACGCAGCGTCTGTCCATGTACATACCTGAAAAGGGAAATCAAGATCAAGTTACCTCTCATGTAGCACAGTTCAAGAGAGATGTGCAATGGTATATTACGCATTGTGCTGAAAAGCTTGTCATGGGGAATCAACTAGTGTTTAAGAGGTTGATTGTACAGTAAAATTAGAAGGAAGTCACACAAAGTTAACAGGACTTTTGTCATATTCAGAAATGTCACATCATCCCTTGCACAACTACCTAATTCCACAGGAAACAATACATCAAGGAAGAATAACTCAGAGGCACAAGGGATTATTTGAATCAGCAACACAAGGTGAAAGTGTACAATATACAGGAATCTTGCATCACTCCAACAAATGGGGTTGCTGAAGCAGCATATTTAGAAGGAAATTACTGAAGGATAAGGATTTATAAAAAATACCGCAAATATCACATCGCCTTTGGCACAAAACACAGGAAGTAATCTATGAAGGATGAATGACTTACGTGCATCCACATTGTCCAGAGCATTAGCCACTCCAGTCAAAGATTGAAAGAAGTCATCATCATAGACGTTCTCTGTCTCTGGTCCAACTCGGTTCAGGTGTGGTATGATGTTGATTTCAGGGTTCATTTCTTTCGCTGCTTTGGCTGCGGTGTCTGACTTGGGTTTCTGAAATATGTGAGAGCGTTTTTTTTTTTAAAAGTTAGATCAAAAACAAAAGTTTCTTCCTAGTGTAACTATTAATTCTTAATCTAAACAGATACTGCACCAGCACAGCAACAATCAACGTTATAAATGCAAATATGGGGCACTGTATAACTGGAAAATAGAAATATACGAGAGAGAGAGAGAGAGAGAGAGAGAGAGAAAGAGAAACGTCTCCAGAGAACAGGCATGGGAGATGAATTTCAGGTGCAATATTATGAAATTTATTTAACACCAAATCTTATCAAGAAAGATTTCACTTGGGGTACTTTAAACATGATCTATCGTACAATTCTATATCTAGAAATACAGCAATTGACCTCTGTGACCGTTGACCTATTTGCCCAAAATTTGACAAGATTGGCTTCCTATGGTTATTATCTAACATTGAATTCTTTCACACATGTAAAGAGAAAACATTTGTGACGTGAATGTTAGCCTCGTATCTGTCCATAATGTTTAACTAGTCACATCATGGTCTTCAGAAGGCATAAAACATTTGATATTGGGACATTTTGGAAAAAGACAACACTGATCTTGTGGTTCTAAGCACCACCATCCCTATGGCTTTGTTTTTGTGTGATATCGATAGTTAAAGTTCCCAGATTACCTAAAATATAATGCCTCCTGCCATTCCTTTGTTAAAATTGCTTACTGCATTATCTCTGAACAGCACTTGCAAGAGCACAAATGAAAGTTGAATTCTACCTGTACATCATGTGGTCTGAAAAGGAACTGTCTATTCAGGTTGGACTTCTCTATGATATCCATGTCTGTGACGTAGATCTTTCCTTCTGGTGCGCTTCCTAGACCCATCATGGCAAAGTTCTTCAGCAGTTCACACCCTATGGCTCCTGCACCAACCTGAGATACACACAGAGAACAGGGGGTGTTTCACAAAACTTATCAGTGACAAATGACAGTTTTTGTTACAAGCTACTGAAATCCTTGCTTCCGATTGGTTATCAGCAGATTTGTCACTGATATTTGTCATTTGTCATTGAAACAAGGCTTTGTGAAACAGGTCCCAGAAGGAGTGAACATCTTGAATAACTTGACATCATGCACATCATTAGATGCAATGAGTGTTTAGTGTTTGCCGACTTAAAATATCTTGTACCTCTGGAAGAATTCACATCATAACTCACAAGAAATGTGACAAGTGTAGAGTGTTTGCAAGCTTAAAAATATGTAGCTGACTAAAAACATACCGTTGTATATTGAATGTATTTTTTTAATGAACTAGAAACACACTTCACATAATAGTCAAATGAATTAATGGTGAGTTTCACAATGATACTGGTTATGGTAAGCCAAATATAAGAACAATTGTTTTTTTCTTTCTTATTTCGCATTTAAGTACATCTGAACCTATGAGTTCATTCATACAATCACTATGCCAATCTATTTTATTTTCTTATTTCATTTACCATGAAATATTTTTGTGCTGCCATCTTCTTCTGAAAATCTGCTCCTAAAACAGCGGTTTGGGAGTCGTACCTGCTATTTGTCTGAAATTAGAAACAGGGTGATAGGAAAGGATTGAATGTAAGTTATGCTATTTTTCTTTCATATTTATGCAATAAGATATGTAAATAAATGGTTAACCCTTACTGTACTGGGGGGGGGGGGGGCCTGGGAGGCCCCTTTCCTCGACATTTTTGGAGATTGTGCCGCAACTGCTTGGAATTTTGAATTGTCGTTTCATGACTTTTTTCCCCTCAAGTCTTACGCACATTTTGATACCATTTTCGTCGAAATCGGATATACCTGTAAGGTGTTACATAACAATTAGTATGCGCATGTCATAAAAAGTATGCTCTAATTGCATATATTCATGTACAAGCAGAAATGTGAATACAGGTTTAGATGTATTTCTTCCTAATATGGAGATATGAATTGATATCAAATTGCTTTCATATGTTTCTCAAAGTAACTTGATGTATTCCAGAACAAAAGAATACATTAGAAATAAAACAATAGATAAAATAAGAAATAAAAAGAAATAAAATAAAAAAGAAAATAAATATTTGAAAATTGCATCAAATTTGCATAAATTATCATTATTAATTACATCAAAATAACTAGTTTGTGTTAGAAAAGAAGTTTCATATGAATAAAGAGTTTCAATTAACATTCAAAAAGTGGAGTCTGACAATTTTTGTTATGATTTTAGTTCCCTGTATATTTCCAGATTTGATATTCATGAATGCCTATTCATAATTTATGCAAATTAATCTACACATTTTCAAATATCATAAAAATAATGTAACCTCATGAATTTGACACGAAGGAAATATTTATTCAATACATTTTCAACATTCTTCACAAGTCTACAGACAAATATGTAGAGTTTTCTGTAAAATGCATAAAATTAGCATTTTGCATAATTAATTAGGCTATAACGACAAAAATTTGTATATTAGGAAAAAAATAATTATACCATCTTGTTCCTTACGTAAATATCTACAAACATGCAAATTTTCGTGTTCATCAGACTTTCGATGAACAGGAACAGGATCAGGGTATCTTTGAAAAAACGAAGCCCAGATCAAATGTTGTTGCAGCCAATGTATGAAGACTGATTGAACCCACTAATTACCAAGACTGAGATATTCATCTTTTAAAAAAGTACAGTCAATCCTGCTTTAGCTACCACCTCTCTGTAAAAACCACAATTTCTTGTGTCCCCCTTGAACAGTTTTTCTAATTGGAAAGTGTACTAAAGGAACCTGAATATAAAGACCATCTGCTTATCAAGAGAGAATTTCTTTATCTCTTCAGGTGGTCTTTATACATAGGTTTCACTGTATGTAAAACCATGTGAGTTTATAAACTCACCGGTTGACAGCTAGCTTCCGTTGGTGTTGCGCTCTCATCTTCTGGGAGGCACTCTAGTGCATCAAAGTAGACCCACTGCTTGATGGGGTTGAATTTACCACTGCAAGCCTATGAGAGAAGAGAACATATTAGACTAAATATAAAGTATTCATCCACTTTAAAAGAGTGAGAAAGGGAGAGAGACAGAGACAGAGACATAGGTAGAGAGCGAGAGAGAGAGAGAGAGGGAGAGAGAGAGAGAGAGAGAGAGAGAGAGAGAGAGAGAGAGAGAGTAGTAGTAGAAGTTGACTTTATTGGATAACTTGTCTACCAAAAGGCTTATCTGCCACAAGGTCCATTCCACAAATTACAAACAATACATTGTCAGATACAGATATAGAAAGAAACAGTTACAAATCAAAAGCGTAAAAATACACACAAAAGAGGAACATTATATATTTCAAAACAGCAGACCAACAGACAGAGACAGAGTCAGAGAGAGACAGACAGACAGACAGACAGACAGATACAGGGACATGCCCTCCTTCACTTTTAAGACAATGTGACGGTCCTTTTAAGGCACTGGCAATGACCTCACATTGCCTTAAAGGGCAGTCCATGTTCTCGTCGTGCAGAATCTAAAAGTCCCTAATGTCAATCTTTCAGCTTTGACTTATCAATTATTAACCACACAATTTTACTACCTGTACATATAAAAGCAGAATCTGGGATATTCTTTGTGAAGTTAATTGCCACAATTTTTCTTTTGAATGCCCTACGTAATAATGAACCAAAGCAGTACGAGCCATATTCAACTCTTGGAAGTTCACTTATGACGAAAACTAACTCTTGGAAGTTCACTTGTGAAAAAGACTTGACACAGTCGAGGGTTTATCTTTCCCTTGTTACAGAGGGACAAAGCTTTACCTTCATGACTTCTTGCGCAGCCATTCCACCGATGACGGCCTGGATTGGACAGATATCACCACAAGCATTGTATGCCAGCTGGGTGAGGAGCTTCTCATCGATAGACTCCTGTTTGGATGCATCCGATGCCTGGGAGTTGATCTCCTTGGCAAGAGCGATCATTTTAGCTGCATCATCCTAGGGAAAAAAAAGAAGGATAAAATCAATATTTTTCCTTTCTGGTCTGATCTATTGTGTGGAGCAAAACAATGACATCAACAAAGAATATGGAAAAGAACATTTGAACATTGGGTGTACAGGAAAATAATGAGAATATCAATGTAAAGATATCAAAACCAACAGAGAAATACTAGCTATGGCAGAGCTTAACCAAAACATCCTGATACGAATAATTAAGGAAAAAAAAGGCAAAATACTGTAACTACAGTAAAAGGCATAAGAGCCTCTTGAAGGATTTATTGGAAGGAAAAGTAGAAGGTACTAGACCATGAGGAAAATCAAGAAATATCTGGGAGGGGAACATTAAGACGTGGAGTGGAATGACACTGCAAGAGGGTACTAGGGTGGCAGAAAATAGAAATTTGTGGAAAAAATGGTGCAATCAACTTCTGAGCTAGGAGAAGATACCTTGATAGATAGAATTTAAGATGGGATTAATTGAAGGCGATAGGTTACAAAACAAAATTTCAATTCCATGACACACTTGTACATCAGAATACTCACATCATTCCTTGGTCTTGGAAGTGTGCCATACTTTGTCTTGAACTTATGAAGAGCCTGAAAGCCGACGTGAAGCTGGCCGGGGCGGTCAAATTTGGCATAATCAGTTATAATCATTTCTGGTTCTGCCAAGGATTCTCGTAATGATTTCTAAAAGATAAGATGGAAAGAAATGATGCAGTGCATTGTATAGGCAGGCGGTTTTAAACACCTAGTTATGTGCTAGGCATAAAAGTAGAAAACATGAATTTCATCATTCTCCTTTTAATTTTTGTTGTTGTCATGAAAGGATAAAGAAATAATGAAGAGAAGATTGATCCTTACAAGGATAATGTATGAATCCTGTACGGCAAACTACCCATTGACTTCAGCAGTTTGTATGCGAGGAACATAATTTATCTAGCACCTTACTGTAGCCTTGTATTACCAATCAGAAGACAAAGCTTAAAACTTGGTGCTGAATTTTGTACATATGTCTCTAAAGGAAGGGGGGATATCTGTCACAATATCTGTCACAATTTTTTGCTTCACAAGCATGGCTACATCTATTTCATGAAAGAACAGTAAAAAAAAAAATGTAATAATTGATAGCAGTGGAACAATAGGTGACACATTCAGCTAGCCTCAATCAATTTGCCCTTTTCTCTCCGACTGACTAAAGAACAAGGTCAAGATACTTACAAATGTAACCTTCTCGGGCATCTTGACTTGGGATACAATTCCTCCCCTGACGTAGTCTGATAGGTCACTGGTATCTCCGATATCGAAGGTGTAAGGTCCAAGAACCTTGATCTTCTTCGGCTGGCATCCATTCAGCTCAGTCATACCCTACAGATTCAATGAAGGAAAGTGAATACACCTTACAGATACAGTGTGAAACAGTAAAATTTGCCTGTGTATGCCTCCAAGTAAGCAGATAGGGGACCAATGGTTTTAAGTCCTCTCAAAGGGAATTGGTAATGAGGATCAATGCCTTACCAAAGGGCACTAGCGCAACAACTTGGTCTCGAATCCCAAACCTCCTGGTTACAAGATCATTGAGTCACAGCGCCTCATCTCTTAATTTAATACTTTAAATCACACCCTTTTCCTCCCATGTTGTGTTTCATTTGTAATATTAATGATTGATTTACCATAAAAACCAAGACAAAATTTGTAGAAATTACAGTAAACACAGAAACGTTTGCATGCTATTATCACAAAGAGCTTCAGATTCTCTATGGTTTCATGACTGAACTAGTGCTGTAACATCACGGATATCTCCAATTCCATTTAACCGTCAGTCAAAACCGGACAGTTTTCGGTTAAACAATTTAAAAAAAAAAAAAAAAAAAAAAAAATGTTTTTTTTTTTTTAACTGTGAGGTGCATTTGAAGGCGCCAATTTGTGCTTGTGAACTTGTCACAAATAATAGTAACAATGTTGTTTTTAGAAGAATGTGTAAGATCATTAATGTAAATTAAAAACAGTAGAGGACCTAGGATAGAACCTTGTGGTACGCCGTGTGTAAAAGTTGGATGACTTATTATAATAAACTACATATTGAGTTGAGATCTATTACAAAGGTTACTTTCAAACCAAGATGACAGACAAATTGGATGGTTGTTCTAGTTTCGGAGTGATAAGTCAACACACAGATTACTGAGGTAGGAGACATTGCCAGGCATATTACAGGTGGAGAGGCATAAATCAAAATTTAAAAAAAAAAAAAAAAAAAAAAAAAATTATTTAAAAAAAAAAAAAAAAAAACGGGAAAACGAAACCGTCCAATTGAAAACGGAATCCGCCATGGGCGGTCGGATACCGGACGATTAAACGTTTGACTACAGCACTAGACTGAACAATGATTGTATACACTTTGTGGAGTTTTAAATTACGAAAAACTTCAGGTTTTGCTGTATCTTACACATCAGGGAACTAGACAATATGAATTTCATCATTTTTTTCCTTCATTTTTTGTCATGAAAGGATAAAGACATAATAAAGAGAAAATTGATCCTTACAAGGATATATGTATGAATCCTGTACGGCAAACTACCCATTGACTTCAGCAGTTTGTATGCGAGGAACATCATTTATCTGGCACCTTACTTTTAGCCTTGTATTACCAAGAAGAAGACAAAGCTTTTACGAATGGTGCTGGCAAATTTCGACAAGTCTTTACAGGCATAGAATAATAATCATATTACATTTGACTCAACGATTATCGTTTGCACTTTGTGTAGTTTCACGTTTAGAAAAGTGTCAGGTTTGCTGTATCTTACAAATAAGGGATCTAGAAAAATTGACTAGCTTGCATTTACCTTTATTTCTGAGAATGAAACGTAGTCTCCACTCTCAAAACCATGGCGGCTTTCATCAAGACAAGTTACTACACCTTGATCATCCTATGGAAAAAATATGATGAATGAACGTAAGTTTTATCAAGTGTTGAGAAATACTACCGGTACTGCATTTGAAAATATTGGTCAAACATTTGTACTATTCAAAATCATGGAGATACAATTTAACTTTGAGAATACATGTTGAAAAGTAAACTATAAAGGCAACAAAAGACTATGCTATAGAATTTACCCACTCACACCAACATTGAATACATTTCTCACATCGAAAGCAAAATGTATAAATACTCCCAAACTTGTTTCTCTACCAAGTCACTACCTGTATCTTAAAGCCCCACTGTGACTGTACTGCTTGTAGCTACTACTATAAAGAAAACAATGCCTAAGTGGTGCCCGTTGGTCCCCCATGATCCTCTTTTTCTTATGTTAATTGAGAGCTGAGTTGATGAGATAACCACCTGTCAGTGAACACGCTGGGTGGTCTAATCCCTCCTGGCCAAACTAGTACAGACAGGCTTTAAATGTGAGAATCTAGAACCTTCCATGGTGGACATACCTTTGATACAGCAGACACCATGACAGACATCGGCTCCTCTCCAGTGCTGTCATACACTGTGAAGTCGTCTCCGAAGTCACAGAAGACCTGACCGAAGAGACCCCTGGTGTCGGCGATGATCAGATGGATGCCCTTGGAGTGGCAGAAGTCACCTATCCTCAGCTGTGCCTCCAGGCTACTGGTGGTCAAGACTACAACCTGAACGGTCAAGGAGAGATGGACACAATAAATTAAAGATAAAGTTGAGTTCTGGTTATCATATCTTCTTTCTTTTTTTTCACCAGAGAATAAAGAAATAATAAAGAGAAGAGTGATCCTTACGAGGATATATGTATGAATCCTGTACGGCAAACTACCCATAGACTTCAGCAGTTTGTATGCGAGGAACATAATTTATCTGGCACCATACTTTAGCCTTGTATTACCAATCAAAAGACAAAGCTTTAAGGAATGGTGCTGGCAAATTTTGTTGTGAAAGAAATGTAGAATTGATCAGAAAAGGTTGATCATCTCGCTAGTAAGTATTGGTGTGTAATAAAGGTTCTGGAATCATCAAAATTATAAGAAATTTGGCCCAGTATTGGAAACAGAAAAGAAGAGGGGGAAAAGAACATAAAGATATAGAAAACCAGATGGCTTGGTGGCAAAGCAGTGATCATGTAACCATGAGGTCAAAGTTCTAACCAAGTAACGCCATCGTGTTCTTCATAAACGCATGAATCCTCAATCCTCCTACATTAATAAGTCTATTGAAGACATTAACTTGCAGGTCGACTACTTCTTGTTCTAGGAGCATCATACTTGCTTTATTTGCAATCACGTAAATAACGTATCAATCTGAAGAGTAGGGATGGAAAGATACTTAAGAAAATGAACAGGGTCATAGTGAATGATGAATGAGAAAATGGAAAGGAAAGGCAGCCAACATCCATCTTACGCATAATACAAAATTAACAGGAATTCTGCAGATAGTTGGAATCTGGATTTTTTTCAGTTAATCACAAAATCAACAAAAAAAGATTAATTAATATCAAACAATCACATACGATTGATGATTTCCAGATTAATGGTCTATAACAGTTCCGTTGACAGAGATGATTAGCTACTCACCTGAAATTTACTCATGAACTGTTCATTGAGGGGCGACTTGCTTATTGTGACAGATACATAATTGTTGAGCTCAGCCAGCCTTGGTTCCGTTACCTCTGCTCTGTTCTTTCCTACGTCTGCCTCTCGGAAGAAGAACTGCAGGTTTAGGGGAAGCACAATAGATTTATCTAAAAGTCTAGTACTACTATCCCTCTTTTAGAGGTAATATATACCTGTAAGCATAGATGAAAATCAGGTTTCACGTGGTGATTCATGATGGTCTAAACTCAAGATAATGAATTTCCTTTTTAAGAGCAAACTAGCTGAAATCCAAGATGATGATAATTTCTGAGATAAAATCATAAAAATGAAATCAATCATGACTTCTTGAAAAGGCAATCATTCTTAATCAAAGTTTTAAGGTTGGTTATCTTTGACCCTCGTACATGTATTCATAAATAGATAAATTGAAGAAGAAAAGAAAATTGACATGCCCCTGGACTATTCCCAACAATTAGCATTACCTGTAAGCTAACGGACAAAATAAAATATCACTGGTTCCTGTGTTGCAACAGATTTTTTTTTTTAACCCATATGATTTAACTACATTTCAGATTCAAAGTTCTATGTTAGAAGCACTACTTGTGACAATACCTCAACAAAATTTGGGTGTATCAAAGAATCATTTATTTTTTCAATTACAAGATCTCTACATTGGTTATTTTTTAATCAAAAAAGGAAGAAAGAAAGAAGAAGAATTTGCTGACCTGGGAGGCCAGATCTTGAATGGAGACGTCCTCTTCGTCATGGATGACCACTGATTTGACGCCACCCAGGACCACATTCTTGGCAATCTCTATTCCAAGGCCCTTCACACCAGAGATGAGGATGTTGGATACAGCCATACGCTTCATGGCTTCATGACCCAGTACGTACCTGATGGACATGGGAAGAGAATGTGAGATTAGTGAAAATGAAAATGGTGGATTTAGGAATAAATGGGGCAAGAATTGAATATATTCTCAGTCACAAACTATAACCCCCAAAAAAAAGATTTTTTTTTTTTTTTTTTAAAGTTTAATTTGGAAATCCTTTTGACATTTACATGACCATTTACTTCAATATATACCTGTTGAGCCCCAATGAGTTACAAAATTGGCTAAGTAGTTGCTGGCAGGGTTATTCATACCAAGGAAAACAAAAAGTAACTGAGATGGCAGTCACAATTTGAACTTGAAGTATTCATAGCTACCAATTCATCTACTCTTGATGAAACAACTTTACTACTATAAAAGTATAAAAATTTGACTTACATTAAAATTCTAGAAATATGAATAACCTACTTTAGGCACTGACACATTATAAACATGTGCTTGGAAGTTTAACACAGACCCATTTTTGTTATTATTCTAGATGTACAATGAATTAAAAAAAAAAAAAAAATAAAAGGAAGGGTCAACTTACAGCTGCCTGGAGTACAACCCCTCATCAATCTCATCCTGCCCTCCATTCTTGGCCATCTCCCTCTGTCAGAAAGAAGAAGAGATATTAAATAACATACATGTATAAGCTGCACAGGCATGTCTACTTTGCAAATTACAAGAGATATGAAATTGTACTTCTTTATGTAAACTACATTCTATGTTCAGAAATTGATTAATTCACTAGACATATTCAAACAAGACCATCTGTCTATCAACTTAATCCAATTGTTCAATCTAGCTATCGACATGTAGCTATCTAACAATCTAACTTTACAACATGTACATGTAGTATCGCATGTGACAAATGAAAGGGGCAAGACAATACAACAGATTCTTTCAAACGGTGTACTCACGTTGTTAGAATTGACTGAGTTCTGGTTGGTATTGTTAGACTCCTGTTCGAGCCTCCGCTTTTTTGCAGCTGGTGATGTCTGGGCGTCAGAGCTACTCGCAGACATCTAAAAACAAAAAAACGAAATTCAAAGAAATCTCGAAACAACGAACCAAACTTGTTTCTTTAATCAGTCTGACCATCATTCAACCCCTGGATTTTCTTTGTGTTTTTAGGTCTAGTTTTGAGCTTTCTCCCTTCCCCTTCTCTGTCATCACTTTGATTAAGGGCTTTCAATACTACTTCCTGTTATTCCCAGGCTGGGTGAAGGAAGGAGTGCCCCTTAATGAAAGGAATTATCAAGATGAGGTAAGGTCTTGGCTCAGAGGTGAACATACTGCACAAGAATTGATACAGACATATCAACTGATGATTCATACAGCACATTGCCACATTCTAACAAAAATATTGAATTTTCAAAATAAATCTCAAACAAAACAGATCAAACTTATCAACACATTACACACAAAGACAGCCTCACAGTAATTACATGATTTAAAAATCCCCCCCCCAAAAAAAAGGATAATGAAATATATTCATTTAAAAAATGACAAAAAAAATGACAAATGAAAAAGAAAGAAAAAAATGAAGTAAAATCAGATAACTAATATGGAAGTTAAGGAACTAGGAAAAACTATGGACCAATGGAAATCGCTTTTTTTTTTTTTGGTCGACATTTTTTTGCCGACTATGTCGGCAGCAAGCCTGGTCCGTGTTAAAAAACCCACGCGGGAAGGCCTTTCATTTAACTGCGAGGTGCAGCTGAATGTGTAAGATCATTAATTAAATTCAAAAACAGTAGAGGACCTAGGATAGAACCTTGTGGTACACCATGTAATAGAAGAAAAATTGGAGGAATTATTATTATCAACTACATATTGAGATCACAGACAAATTTGACAGACAAATTTGAGTGTTTTTCTAGTGTCCAAGTGGTGAGCCAACACACCGATTACTGAGCTGGGAGACATTGTCAGGCATAGCGCCAGGTGGAGGGGTATAAATCGAAACTTTAAAAAAAAAAAAAAAAAAAAAAAAAAAATTTGTTTGGTGTACCGGTATAAACCGCACCCCCGACTTTAAATTTTTTCGGCGGCAAAAAGGTGCGGTTTATACACCGTTAATTACAGTATATATTTCAATCCCATTAAATTCCCTTTTTATTCCCCAAAACTTGATTTCCCTGTGCCTTTGTCTACGTTACTGGTATATGATTTGTATAATATTACGTGCATGACATTTAAGAAAATCAACTTTGAAGAATTAATAACATTTTTTGAATATTGCATATTCATACTTGATTTTTATTGACTTTTATATAAATAGTTTCATTTAAATTCACATTTTTCATGATTTAACTGAAAAAAATTACTCTTTATTTGTGCACCCACACAAAAACATATTACTATCAATATCACTTAGATGCTGGTGTGAAGAAATAAGGTTTAAGGGGGGAATTGGGAAATTTTTGATATATCAATATAAGGAAAACAATTACCGTAAATCTCCATGTATAAGGCGCACCTGTGTATAAGGCGCACCCCTATTTTTAGAGATTTAAAACAATTTTTTTTTTTTTTTTTTCCTTTTGGGTTTGCTTTTGCTTTTTTGAAGACACCACCTCAGATTCTCTTATTTCAGCGTGTGGTCCCGTTCGGAAACCCAAGCCATGCTGCATGGAATTGGGAAGGACTTTTATTTATTACGACTTTACAGTCAAAAAGTCAAAGTAAAAAAGAATAGTAACAATGTTGTTTTTAGAACTAAAGATGACAGAAAAATTTTCCTCCCGAGTCCAAACCGAAATTTGGACAGGCTAGATTTCGAGTGGTGAGTCAATATCCACTGTGTAAGTGAGCTGCAGGATACAGGTGAGTGAGCTGGAGACACGGGAGAGCTTCGGCTGGCAAAGTGCTTTGTGAAGGGGCATAATTTATCGAGACAGAAAAAAAAAAAAAAAAAAAAATTCTCTTCCCTTCAAATTAGGAACGTAGTTTAACTTCAAATAGTAGATCCTATTCTTTATTTTCATTATGTAATTCATGTTGAGACACAGAGATTTTCAGAAACCACTAAAAAGTAGCATTTTGAGGACTCAAAATATTCTGTACCTGTGTATTAGGTGCACCCCAGACTTTCATTTTGCATTTTCAGTATTCTTATCCCCCAAAATCAGTATTTTTACAAAACAAGGGAAACGCTCTCGGCGGTCTCGCCTGCATAACGCAATTCAATATGATAAACTAGAACGTCAATGACGTAGCACTCATCCGCATCTCGCAACAATAAATATCGTAAATTTTATGTGCTACACTTTTGAACTGGTCAAAAAATAAAAATTTGATGCCCTGGAAGGGACATAATTTCATTTCATTTGCATAAAGTACCATAAACAATCAATGGAGCAAAATCTCAAAATTCTGTGTAGAAGTTTAATGTTCCAAATTTAGCTCTACCAGATAAGGCAAACAAAATCAAAATCGGTCAAAAAAATGAGGGAGAAGAAGCAACTTTTGTTATTTTTGGAATAAATTTGCATAAAATTACCATAATTAATTAATGGAGAACAATTTCAAAATTCTGTGTACAAGTTTAGTGTACCAAAGTTAGCTCTACCATATAAGGAAAACCAAATCAAAATCGGTCAAGAAATGAGGGAGAAGAAGCAATTTTTGTTATTTTTGGAATAAATTTGCATTTTTTGGTTTGCATAAATTAGCATAGATAATGAATTTCACGATTCTGTGTAGAAATTTTAAATCCCCCTCCTAGCCCTATCATATGAAATAATCAGAATCAAAATTCGGTTGAAAAATAACGAAGAAGAAGCATTTTGAAAATCTTGATGTTGATGCCACAACAAAGTCTAAGTTTTTTTACCTTAAATGACCTTTGACCTTAATTTAGTGACCTGAAATTCTGCTCAAATGATTGGGGAGACTTGATAACCCTATAGTCCAAGTTTCATTGACTAAGAACTTATACTTTCAAAATTATATCAAAAATTCAAAAACTTAACCTTAGGTTAAGTTTTCGATGATGATGCTACAGCATACCTGTAGTCCAAGTCTGTTGACCTGAAATGACCTTTGACCTTGAGTTTGTGATCTGAAATTCTACTCACATGATTGGGGATACTTGATTACCCTGTAGTCAAAGTTTCATTGACTAAGAACTTATACTTTAAAAATTATATCAAAAATTAAAAAACTTAACCTTAGGTTAAGTTTTTGATGTTGATGCCGCCGCCGCAGCCATAGCCGTCACCGGAAAAGCGGCGCCTACGTCTCGCTTTTTGCTACGCAGGCAAGACAAAAATCAGTATTTTTTCCATGTGAAAAAAATATGCATGCATATCGGCAATGTTGTACTAGGGTTGTACTAGATCTACACTACCGTTAATCTCCGTGTATAATATGCACTTTTTTGCCGCCGAAAAAATTCAAAGTCGGGGGTGCCCCTCCACTTGGCGCAATGCCTGGCAATGTCTCCAAGCTCAGTAATCGGTGTGTTGACTTACCACTTGGAAACTAGAACAACACTCAAATTTGTCTGTTATCTTGGTTTGAAAGTCATCTTTCTGATAGATCTCAAAATGAAGTTTAAAATAATAATTCCTCCAATTACACATGGCGTACCACAAGGTTCTATCCTAGGTCCTTTTTTATTTTACATTAATGATCTTACACATTCAACTGCACATCGCAGTTAAATGAAAGTCCTTCCCGCGTGGGTTTTTCTTTTTAACACGGACCTGGCTTGCTGCCGATAGAGTCGGCAAAAAAACAAAAAAACAACAACGTACGTCCGTAGCCTATTTTAAGTTGATTTCCGTACGGAATACGGCCAATCCGTACTACTTGGCAGCTCTGCTTATATACAGAGATTTACAGTACCGGTAGTGGATAGTGAAGCAATGACGTCACAGACTCATGAATGAGTTGCCAATTTCATAACTTTCATAATTCATAACTTTCTTATTAGTTATCCGATTTTGCTCAAACTTTTTTTTGATTGGTTTGTCTGATTTATTTTTATTATTTTTGGGGTGGACCTTTTGCAGCCAACATCAAATTCTATAGAACTTTGCAGGAATTATGGATATGTTATGGATGTCCTATCTGTGAAATTTAAACTTGAGCAGTGTCCGAATATTCAAATTATGCAAGGAAACCCATTTACTTGCTAGACTTCACTGTCAGACACTATTGAGTGACTGACTGGCTCTTTCATCTTTGGTAATAACATACATAAAATGAGCTGTAAAGGGTACATGTGCATTTGTCTACATGAATAACCCACTTTTTCTAATGGCCAAAATTAAACTGAATCTTTGGGCAGCATAAAACGTACGACTATTCGGTACAATGGTCTGAAAAATCAGACTAATACTTACTGGCTTTATAGCTTCTAAGTCGATTTGACAACTAATAGTCGTTATTTTCCCACTTAAAGACATTTCCAAGCCCTATTTTTTTTTAGGGAAGAAGCACGAGGTATGCGCAACGGGCGGTACATTTGTAGCATCATAGGTTCCCACAATCGCACATATGAATTCCAACTACGTGACCGCAGGACGAACTACAGTCTACAGTAGGGGCGCTGGTCCGATAATGAGGATCGTCCGCATAAACAAGGATATCCTCGTAAACTAGTATACACTATGAATATGACTGACAAAGAAAGCGGACAAAATATACAGTTCCTCAGGTAGACAAAGGAACATCCCTTCACTGCTATTTGTAAATATTGTTTAGAACAGCTGTCACATGCATAGGTCTATTTACCTGTTCTACACATTTTTACATACATGTAATAGCAGTGAAGGGATGTTCCTTTGTCAACCTGAGGAACTGTATATTTTGTCCGCTTTCTTTGTCTGTCATATTCATAGTGATATCCTCGCGTACTAAAAAAAAAAAATGATCGTTCGCATTTTCGTGGCCTTTTTTTCTTCTTCGGCGCTCTGTGGGTGCAGGGTTCCAGATCTGTGTGCTGGCAATGCGAAAAATGGATTCCATGTAATAAAATACCCCCAGTTAACCATCTACGGTACTTTTATGGGTTGTCCGTCTTCCCAAGGATTTATCGTTCATAACGTGAAAGTCTCTATGCAAAGTGAATGTGAAATGCATCACGGAGCATCATCACGGAATCCATTTTTTGCATCGACAACGCTCGGAATGGAAAAAACAATCATCCGCGCAATAACGGACGATCCTAATGTTTTCAGGACGCATCTGCATGACCAGTAGGGGCGCTGGTCCGAGAATAAGGATCGTCCTCGTAAACGAGGATCGTCTTCCTAAAAACGGACCGATGCGTCCTCAAAAATAAGGACCGTCTGCATTTTTGCAGACGTTTCAAATTTTAATTTGGCGCATTGGCGATGCAAAAAACGGATTCTGCAATGATTTTCTTGATGCATTTTACATTGACATTGTACAGAGACTTTCACATTATCAGCAATAAATCCTTGGGAAGACGGACAACCCATAAAAGTAGACGGACAACTAGGGTTATTTTCCCCCGGGGAATCCGTTTTTGGCATCGCCAGCAGGCCGTTCTGTAACATGAAACCCCCAGAGCGCCGATGAAAAAAAACGTCCTCGAAAATGCAGACGACCCTTATTTTTGAGGACGCATTTTGTCCTCGTTTATGAGGATATCCTTGTTTATGAGGACGATCCTCATTCTTGGACCAGCGCCCCTACTGATGACCGCGTCTACGAATTACCGATCCTTATTCTCGAACCAGCGCCCTTACTGGTCTATGTACAAGGGATTTGGTTAAGCCAGACCAAGTCTCAGCAGAACATATCCATGATATCCCTGAACTAAATACAGGTTTTGGTGTTTTTTTTTAAGTTCCATTCCTGACTAGACTTCTAGATCTACTTTTTAAAAAACTTTTTCATTGCATTTGCCATTGCATTGGTTTAACTTTTATTTTAGGCCATTCCAATCCAATGTCCAGCATGTTCAGGTTAATTTACACAGCCTAACTTAGCCCTGCCAAACAAGGCAAGATTCTGAATCCACTCTGCAAAAAAAATACATGATACAACAAGATCTTTCAGTATCATGCTAGACAACCAAAGACAAATTAATGATGGTTGCGTAGGCTGCCCAACACACTCAAGGCCATTCATTGCACACAAGATTCGCGATCATTCTACATACACTGAGCTGAGCACACTGCACTGGCACTGCATGCAAACGACAATAGAATGAATGAACTCGATGAATGTGGTGCAATAATGCACGTGGTTGTGGGTTAATTTAATTCAGAAATAACGGTAAATGCATTACTAAAAATCATTATTTCGGATTAATATATATTCTTTAAATGTATATTTAATACTTTCAATGCGACATTGTGTCTTAAATTGCATATTTTAGTAAAATTTTGCTATCAAAAGACAAAGTCATACCTCTCAACCTCAGCGACTATTTCCCGGATAGTGCATCGTCTACCGGTTATAACCCGGTGTACGTGTTCACGTGACCAGCCACAGAAAATAATGGTCTCATCCAACATACACAACTCCGTTTATGCATAACACAAATTATCATACATTTACTTACCAAAGCAACCCGAACGAATAATAGGGATTCCCAAAGAACAATCAAATTATTTTCAAATGTGAAGAATAAACCAATATGTGGACAAAAACATTTGGTAAAATTGTATTTCTAAAGGTTTCTTCCCGATCGTTATAGCAAGGCTAAACGACGTGGTAGTTTGCAAGAAATGTAATAGACTATGCCGGTAAAATATACGGAAATGTATTCGTATATAGTCGTGCGGCAATATACGAAAAATACGGAAGATACAAACATTACGTAGGCCTACGTATCTATATATTATACGGCCTGGAGATATATTGTCTCATTATGACTCAACATTGCAAAATATATGAAAAGATGAATGTTGCATACAGTATACATATAATCTGTGCGATGAAAATATTAATTTAGGCCTACAAGTATACAAGGCTCCTTGAAAATGGAATTTCCATGAACTATATTCTCTCATTTTCACATTGGTTGTCATGCATTGATCAACTGGGTTGGGCGGCCTTTTGAATAATACCGGTATAGGGCCCAAGTATGCACTCAGCTCAGCGATTCAGCGAACACATTCGAATGAGAGTATTATTATCTATACACACATTAAACATTCAAGCAAATGGTACTCAAAGAGAAAAAAACATATACTAAAGATCAGCTATCCATTGATACTTACATGGTATCCCTTTCCCGAGAGCGTTGATGAGTAAACGCTGAAAGGAATTTAATTTGAGGGGGTGGTTATATATGCTGATGTCATGATCTTAAAATAGACAAAAGCTACGTACATTGAGCGGAGTAATTGAGAGGAGTGGTGCACTATGATATTGAGTGATCGAACAGTCGATTCAATAGGGTTGAGAGTATAAGTTATAGTTGAGAAGCCTTAATTGGCAGACGCAAGTGCATATATCTTTGCCTATTAAATTTGTATATATGCCCTATAAAATTATAGTATACAACCGGGCCCCAAAACAGTACGTGCTCCTCACATTTTTCGACACAAAAGGTCGGTATAATTATAGGCACCTATATAGGCCTATACCTGGAAATTTAATTATGACAACCCCTTTTCCCTTTAATTCTCTCACTTGAAAAAAACACACACTAAATATTACACCAATTAAGTATATGAACAAAAAATGTCATTAAATATTATTGTGCACCTTTTACATTCAGGAATATATGATGACGCCCCCCCCTTTTATATATATTATTTCTTTAATACTAGTGTGCAACCTCTTCCACACAACACTCAACAGTCACTAGTGTAATATAGTCGAATAATTTGGAAGGGCATGGGGGCGGAGGTGAAATGAAAATGCTTGTTTTTAGTACATGTGATATTGGCTAGGTTATTTATTATGCTGATTTTTGTTTGTTTTGTGTATGCATGCATGGTCCTAAGGGAGAATGCTTATAAAGGTTTTTAAAAAACCACCCCGCCCTCCCTGCCCCCCCCCCCGCAAAATGACAAAAATTATTTATTTTGATAATAGAGTATAGGTATCTTTATCACAAAATACTTATACTCTATTATCAAAGCGTCAGTTAACGATTAAGGGTCAATGTTCAAATTGCAAAAGTTACAGAAAAAGATGTAATCAAGGATTAAAGAGGGTTCACTATCCAGTGGCGGATCCAGGGGGAGGGAGGGGAGCCCGGGGGACCCGGCCCCCCCCCCCCTTGGAAAAAAAAACGTGTTAAAACACGTAATTTTTACCTTGGGGGGGGGTTGTGCTCCCCCCCCCCTGGCGCTCAAGGGGGGATGCAAATTTTTAAATTTTCGAGGGCAAAAAAAAAAAATGTGCTCACTACCCCCCCCCCCCCCCCCCCCCCCCTCCCCAAGAAATCCTGGATCCACGCCTGCCACTATCCACCAGCCAACAATTTTCCTTTCAGTGAGAAACCGGGCAGTCGTAGCCTACATTAGATTTGTAATTTCTGTACCGTAGAGTATAGCATATCACTAAGATGTGGTATAAAAGCTGCAACTGACACCCATACATGCCAGGCACGTAGCCAGAGTTTGATGTTTGGGGGGGGGGGGGCACATAATGTAATCGATCGAGGTCAAAAAAAGTTCAACCGATCTTGGAAAAAAATTTGGGGGGTCACGTGCCTCCCCCCCCCCCCCCCCCCGTGTCTACGTGCCTGATACATGCACCCTCTTTGTCGCTTCAGTTCGGAACAGAAGCCCCTTTAGACGCCCCTCCCTATACCTCCTCAATTAATATCAAACCGGGCATGTACGGTGAATATAAAGTAGGCTCATAATTGTTATTGGCATTAATAATGCTGATTACATTGATTTTAAAAGGAATGTGAAAGCAAAACATCGAGAGATTATGACGGAGTTATCCCTCATACCTTTGCCATTTTCACCTCGGACATTTTTACCTTGGACAATTTTACCTTGGACATTTTTACCTCAGACATTGTCACCTCGGACATTTTAGATCGCATCATTTTGTTATCCTGATTAATGAAAGTGTTTCGATTCCCCTTACAATTTATTAAATTATAAAAAGTGCAACTTACATTTAAATTTCCTTAAGGAAAGGTTGATAAAGGATCAACATTTTGAAAAGACCTCCCCCCCCCCCCCCCCCCATAAACCCCATGTAATGTGTATGCTTTTGAGTTTTGACCGTGCAGGGGGCATAGGTTACACCTAAAAACAGCTAGGTATTTAACAAATAATTGTAATTCCCATACGATTTATTAAAAATTATGTAAAAGGCTAAAAAGTTCGAATAGACCCCCATAAATCACAAAGAGTATGCATACTTTTGACCACTAAAGGGGGCCACCTGTGATGTGAAAATTATAATTTATTTTATTATTTATTCATTATAATTTATTAAGAAAGCCAAGGAGGAAGAAAAGAAAAGGGGAAAAAGAAGGAGATCGGGGGGGGGGGGGGGCGAAAAGGCCTTGCCTCCCAGGCTGTTACCCCCCCCCCCCCCCCCCCACCCATCAAACAAAAAGAGAGAGAAGGAAGGAATGAAAGGGAAAGAAAAAAAGAAAAAGAGGAGATAAAAAGAAGGAGCAAAAGAGGAAGAAGAAAAGAAAAGAAGGGGGATATCAGTTGCAACTGTTTCCCGCTATATAACGACGCGTGGATCAGGGGCCGAAAGGCCCTTGCCCCCCCCCCCAGCAAACATAAAAGAGAGAGAAGGAAGGAAAGGGAACGGAAAGTGAAAGAGGAGAGAAAGGGAAAGAAAACAAAAGAGAAAAAAGAAAGGTAGGAGAGATCAGTTGCGATTTTTTCGCCAACAAGGTGTAGTCCTAGAGGGGGGCGTAGGGGCTGGGGGCTGGGGGCAGTTGGTATCAGTACATAGACTGACTTAATAAAAATTTATCTTGAAAAGGATAGCTCTACAAATGCCTTTATATTAAAAATATGATAGACATTACAAAAATAGCTGAAGTGTTTTGACCAAAGGGACATGCCTGCACGTAGTTGTATAGTCCATTATATACCCATTTCTGTGTGCAGTTTATGTACTTTTCATTAAGATTGAGAAGATTTGTTATCAATTAATTCCGAAACCTCACGGTACACACCAATTGCATTACATAACTAACTGGAGCCTGGCGATTTTTTTTTTACCTCCGACATGTTTACACCTTATCAATCGACATTTCACAATGTTGCCTCCACAATCAATTACACAACAAATTTGAATGATAATTAATTAATGAATATTCATCATACAGCTCTTCTCTTCCAGCTCTTCCAAGCATCTACACAATATTTCACTTCTTTTTAATCTTAGAAAACAATCCAGGCCAATATATAATAATAGTACTTTTTAATCATTATTGTGAAATAAGATATAACTCTTTAATAAAGTATAAATATCTTTAACCATTCCTCGATTCGGTATTTCCCAGGAAAACATGTATTTCTAACCATATTTTATCATGTTTATCCTTTAATATAATACTACTTCAGTTCACTTAACAAATTAAGATCATACTTTTAGGGATCATTTCTATAGTATGTATCGTTCTCTTACGACACACTAGTGTCCCCACACCTAACCACGATGAAGAGTCATAGCGTTTCCCTCTGAGCGCGAAGCGGACTTCGAGTGTTACCTTCTCGATAACTCGCTCGTCGTCATTGTAGTACAGGAGCCAGGGGGGGTCAACCTAGCTGGGAAGGAAACCAATTTTCATGTGCACAGATGTGAAGATGGCATAGCTCCACATAACAAATTGACCGTCTGGCATGTTCTAAGTGGTGGGTGTGGCTAGGGGGACGCCCCCCACCAAAAAAGTTGCCCTTTTGACGACAAAATAGTATTTTGTAAATAACATTTTAAGGAAACCTTGAACCACTATGGGTTTGGTGTCATATGAAAGAGAGTTAAATTATCTACATTTTGATACCAATTTCAAATAATTTGGGATTAATTAAAATCGCAAATTTAAGTAAAAAACATGATTTTTGTGATTTTTTTCCAAAAATTGAATTTTATCAAAAAACACTATTTTCCATAAATCAAAATCGGAAAATGGAATTTTTTCAAAACTTTCCAGGAATTTGCTTATGTACAACAAAAATATCCTGTGCGAAGGAGAAGTTTATATATTGTTTCAATAAAAAGTTATAGCAATCCAAAGTTATGGATTTGATTTCCACAAAAACAACATTTTTGCCCACTTGTGTATAAACTGTATGCAATATACATGCATTAGTGTGTTAAGGACCTGTTTGGTGTGTTTACATCGAGTTTTAAAGATAACTTTGAAGTAAAACCTCTAATCACCATGTATTTGGTGTCAAAAGAAGGATAATTAAAATACTTCATTCTGATAACAATTTTGATGAGTGATGTAGTGTTTGAAATATAAATTTTGAGCCAAAAAGGTGCTTTATGTAGATATTCCTCTGGTTTTGGCCAGTATATCGGTATATTAACTGGACAAGTGATTGGACATTTAGTAGT